TTCTGTTTATTTTATTTTTCGCGTCAAGAGTTGTGTCTGTTATTTAACGAAGTAAATATCAGATAAAAAAGGAGTCCCAAAAACATAAATATCTGATATCATATCGCTGTTTACATTACACTTGCGTTACCAAGGCAATGACTGTCGCATTTGTATTACATTCCAAAGAGCTCCGTTATCAGCACCACAGTGGAAAATGAAACCGTATCCGTGCTGACTGGCCAGATCGGCACGGAATGGAATGGTTAAGCAAAGAGAACCATTTGGTCCGATGTTCATGTTTCTCTATCAACCCTCTGGGGTCGATGAACGCGCTGGCGTGTTTTGGGGCATTTTTTCCTGATAACGCCAAAATGAACTTAAATTACTCTGTCATTTTTGATTGTACAGATAAGAGTCTGTAATACATAATTCGAATCTGTAAAAGGTCTACTTTTATGAGAAACATATCTATAGAAAAGCTCTGTGTACCCATAAAGCTTGAAGTGTCTACTTTTAAATGAAAAAGTCATGTCATGGTCATGTCAAAAACAAATATTCTGTGATAAAGTAATCTGTATGAAACCAACGCGAGGTCCAGTCTTTCCCGTCTGAGCTCATTACCTGTAATGTGATCACGCCCACGCGCAACGCGCGCTATTCATACGGTAATCATTAGGGGTGTAAGAAAATATCGATATTATCGATATGGCAATACTGTATCGATTCTCAAAAACGGAATATCGATATTTAAGAAAAAAAAATCATACAAGATTCATGGCAGATGTTTAGTTTTGAGTTTATATCCCGACCGCTAGATAGCAGCCTTCTTCTCTGAACTTAAACAGTGACAGGAAATACTAGCATTAGAACACGCCATAGCAGACTCTCGTCACTCAATGGCTGGATGTCTAAGTGGTGCCCGCAGAATAACATAGGTTTCATAGATAATTGGACGAGTTTTTGGGGCAGACCTGACCTGCTGATAAGAGATGGTCTTCATCCCTCCTGGGGTGGTGCCGCTCTTCTCTCTAGAAATATGGCACATAGTCTTAGAGTTTGTACTTGACTAACTGGGGCCCAGGTCAGGAAGCAGACAGACTGGCTAAACCAACCGTCTGCTAGCCGCCTCACGTCAAAGAAATCAGTTAATTCTCAGCACATAGAGACTCTTTCACCTAGATATCACACTATAGAGATTGTGTCTGTTCCCCGAACTAAAAAATACAAAAAACGTCCAAACCAAATTAAGAGTAAAAATTTAAGTGCTCTCTTCTCCCTATAATTATTAGACACGCTCCTTACTGCTGATTGGCTGAGAGTTTGTTTTGGGACTCGGTCCGACACAGTGGTCAAAAGCGTTTTTTCAAAAATCGCTTAGTGCACCTTTAAGTGGTCCTTCAAAGCTAGGTGATGTACATTTAGACCAGAACAACACCACCTACACTCTATCGTACAGCAAGCTGCCGCCTTAAAGCGTAGCTAATTATTGTACGAAGGAGCAGAGCGTACATAGGACACAGATCGAGATTTCATAGGTGCAAATGAGTCCAAAGCAGAGAGGAGAGCAGAATTTAACATACGTTGTCCTCCAGGGAGTCAGATGGAGAAAGACAACTTACGGATGACTCAATAAAAGCAGAAAAATACTGAAGATCAATCGATTTCCATTTACCATAATTTACCATTTGTGTAAATGACATTTCTGTAAATGATAATTCCATATTAAACAGAATAGCCAAGTGGTCAGACAGCCCAAAGTCTACAGAGGCAGGCAGTGACAAAAATGAACTATTGGTAATCACTAGATCCAAGGTCTGACACTTTTTATGAGTAGAAAAGTCCACCAGTTGTTTCAGATTAAAACACTCTAACAGAGACAAGTCGCATGGTTGCCAGATTGCAAAAAACAAGCAAAACACTGAGCAGAAAATGTATCCTTTTAAAGGCAGAGTAAGTGATTTCTGGTAGCCAATGTTAAAAGCTCTGAAGGATTTGAACTCTTGAAGTTTGGCAACCGTACACATGAAATCTGGTGTAGTAGAGGCGTGTACAGCAGCCCGCAATAATATTTTGTTTCTTTTTTCCAACGAAAATAAAAAGAAATCTTGGTATAGTTTATATTTTTTAAATACATTTTAGTCTCGTCTTTTGTCATCAACGAGATTGCATGTTGATATAGTCACAGTTTATTGACCTTATTGTCGTCTCGTCATCGTCTCGTCTTAGTCATTAGAAAAAAGCTTGTCAACAAACATTTTTCGTCATGCTTTTCGTCAACGTAATTAACACTAAGGCAACATCAATCAGTCACTTTGAACAAAGATGCATTTGTAAACCTCTATTTTCTGGTACTATTCAGTACCTCTAAAAAACTTTTTTTGAAGACGCTCATAGATGGCTAAGTGTAAATGTTTAAGTATACAGCAATGGTTATTTTCATACACATTCAGTCATGCAAAGGAGTGACAATAGTATTCTATAATAGACTCTATAACCTTTTGCATAATCAATCCTTTAATCAAAAATTTCAGGCAAATCTATTAACTTTTAAAAGCAAGTTTGCTGACAAGCTGCATGACAACTAATTTACGGTCTATTTGTTTTTTGTCTCTGTTGCTTTTTCTTCCTCTTTTTTGTTAACTTTAAAGTGCAGAAATAAATAGGTATTTTGTTGTTTTTTCTTGTTGTTAAATGAGATCCCAATCCATGTTTTTCTTGTACCTATATCTTTTTATTTTTGTTCCATAATTGCTGTTATTACCCTATATAGGACAAGCGATTTGAAAAATGGATGGATACAAATTGCTGTTATAGGTTTAAACATATCAAATAAGTAAATGTGCAGAAATTTTGTACACCCTTTGGGAGATTGAAAATATGGTGAAAAAGGTGAGGAAAAAAAGGTGAAAAACTATTTTCTTAAAAACATTTCTCACAAAAATACTTGTCAATCCTAAACACTGACTATGAGAACATGGCCAGAGTAGTACGCTAATAGAGAGCAGAATCAACCTTTACATACAAACTGATGTCCTCACCTCTGCGATCATACGATTAGTGTCTCCTAAAAATAGCAAATCCAAAGCTTCCTCTTCATTGGCTGACTGTTGCAATGACAGGTTCTTGAGGTGAATGTTCTGGTCTGGATCTTCCATGATTGTCACCTTCCTAAGTCAATGACAAAATGTTAAGAATGTTAGCAAACAAAATATAAAGTGAGTGAGGGAAGTAGTCAATCATCAAATCAATGAACATCAGCTGTTTAACAGTAGATTGCAGAGAAATACTGTACACATGCACATATACATCATAACTGCTATAGGTGGACAGGAAAACGGTCTTTTTCTGTTATGCCTGCACTTATGTTTACATTATTGAGTATACTGTCCTTACCTTTTGTTATAATAAAGGTTTTGAGCTCTATAAACAACATCTCTGACATACTGTCAGCATATCTTAAAACTTGTATTGAATCCTGAACATTCATTAGAGCATGAAGTCAGAATAGAACCAGATGGTTCTAAAATTATTATTTAATGTAAGTGTCTGAGTCACAACAAAAACTAAGACATCTGATGTGACAAGAACTGATATCAGGCTAAGTGATAAACTACAAGAAAAACAACATGAAGTAAGCAATCCTATTGGAAAAAATATTCAAGCACCCATGTTTCCTTAATCATTGAATTAAAAATGAATTAGAGATGGATGCCAAATGGATACATCTGAAATAAATATTTAAAGTTTTGTTATCAACTCTAACATGAAATTACAACATTAAAGCTCAATTAGACAACAGCTCAGTTAGCCTGCTGGACATTCTAATTTTATACCATTGACATCTTTTGTTTTGAATGGCATAGAAAGAAATATGAACAAAGATATGGATGAATATACAGAGAGAGAGAGATAACAACAGAAAGAAAGTGTTAAGTGATACTGCTTGTAATAGGGACAGTGGATTTTAAGTGTCATTGCTCCTTGAAAGTTTAGCTTGTGTGGTCAAAAGTGGGCACAGTCTATTTTCAGAAGTGTGCAATTTGTGGGACTCCTGGGGCCCGTTCTTCAAACGTCGCTAACACAGTTAGCTGGATTTGATTGTTGACGATTTGGCATGATCTTGGATTATTTGGTTCTTCGAAGCTCATCCTACATTTAGTCAGGTGTCTTTTTTAATTATATGATATCATTACTGTCACGAATCCGGTCTCTGGCCTTCCGGCCGATTGCCACTAGAGGTCATTCTACCATTACATTGACTCTCACACTAGTTTTCTGTTTTAGTCTCGTGTATTGTTCTGCGTTTATCACTCATCTAGCGATAGCTGGATTACTGAGTCTAGTGTCTTGTTTTCCTTGTTTTCATCGTCTTGCCTTGTCTATTTCCCCGTGTTCTGATCACTGCCTCTGTACCTGGATTATCCCTCGAGTCTCGCCCAATTGGATACTGTTCGCCCCTGCCTGGACCTTTGCCTTGTACCTGGATTATCCCTCTTGCCTTGCCATCAATATACCTGTTTGCCATTGTCTGACCTATGCCTGTTTGTGACCACGTCTCTGTTAATAAAGCCTTGCAGATGGATCCGCACGCTTCCTGTGTTCCCTCCGTTACAGTATACACTGTGAAATGAATCGCTTACTTACATTGGGCCTCATTTACAAAACGAACGTACGACAGAAAATTGGGCATACGGTCGTTTCAAAGCAAAATTCGGAATTTATCAATATGGACGTGAGCGGTGGCTACGATCAAATCTCACGTCTGGTCTGAATACTTTCCGTACCCACTGTATATATATAAATATATACACACATATACATGAGGCTTAAGCAACAATATATTATTCTAAAACAACTATTTGCATTGACGTAACTAGTATATGAATGTGGCCATATTGGAAAATTATTACTGATTACAGATCTGAAATACTGATTAAATTAGTTAGGGTTAAAACAAAGACTTACGGTAAGTCCTCCAGACGAGATGCCTCATGTTGGGGATTCAGTAGATCATAGCCAGTCTCATTGTAGATTTCCAGGTAAGATATGTGGGTTGTATAGATCATGCTGCTGTCCTGCAAACAGATATACAACTAACTAAACAAGGTATACCAGGGAAGATCAAAACAGTTCACCAGCTAAATTTTGATTCTAGCCTAGATTACTTCATCAACATTTTTTTAATTTTTTGCTGAATACATATATTCAATTTTTTTTTCAGAAATATAATGAAAATGTCTACTGACCTTGCTGAAATGCTGATAAAGGTACGAAAGAGTTCTGGGGATGATCCCTCGATCATTGTAGCCAGAGATCAATTATCACGATTACTAGATCTGGAATCTTTCAAATCATCTCAGATGTATTAAGCAAGGTACGAAGAACGGGCCCCAGGTCTTGAGTTATATGTCAACAGAGCAAAGAAAGAGACACCAGAGGAATTAAAATGAAGTGGAAAAGACTGTATTAGTCATATATGCATCACTCCAACATGACCAATTTTGATTTTTGTTAAAAAAGACCACATGGCTAAGCATCCAAAACAAAACAAAGAGGTGCATGAATGAACAGCTTACAATGGAAAAGTAAATAAATTAAAATTATGAGATATATACCATGTCCTTGTTCCTGTTAAAAAAAAAAAAAAATATATATATATATATATATACAGTGGGTACAGATCTGAAATACTGATTAAATTAGTTAGGGTTAAAACAAAGACTTACGGTAAGTCCTCCAGACGAGATGCCTCATGTTGGGGATTCAGTAGATCATAGCCAGTCTCATTGTAGATTTCCAGGTAAGATATGTGGGTTGTATAGATCATGCTGCTGTCCTGCAAACAGATATACAACTAACTAAACAAGATATACCAGGGAAGATCAAAACAGTTCACCAGCTAAATTTTGATTCTAGCCTAGATTTCTTCATCAACATTTTTTTAATTTTTTGCTGAATACATATATTAAATTTTTTTTTCAGAAATATAATGAAAATGTCTACTGACCTTGCTGAAATGCTGATAAAGGTACGAAAGAGTTCTGGGGATGATCCCTCGATCATTGTAGTGCTCTGCACCTCCAGTGATTGTAAAGGTCTTCCCACTTCCAGTCTGGCCATAGGCAAAGATGGTGCCATTATAACCTGCCAGCACACTATCAAAAGGTGCAAGGTTAACAATGATCTAAAGGCCATTTGTATGCTATGTGTCTCACTGTGATTTAGTACTGTATATAAAGTTACATTAATTGATAGATAATTACTTGGATGTAACTGTGTAATAAAAAGCTTAAATTACATTTAAAATGGCATTAGGTTTTATAGAATTAAAGGATTAGTTCACTTCCAGAAAAAAAAACTTTCTGATAATTTACTCACCACCATGTCATCCAAGATGTTCATGTATTTCTGTCTTCAGTCGCAACGAAATTAAGGTTTTTGAGGAAAACATTACAAGAATTTTTCTCCATATAATGAGCTTAAATGGTGGCCAACAGGTTGAAGGTCCAAATTGGAGTTTCAATGCAGCTTCAAAGGGCTCTACTGTACACGATCCCAGCCGAGGAATAGAGGTTTTATCTAACAAAAAGATCAGTCATTTTCTAAAAAAAATAAAACCTTGTATTTTAGTTGGCCACCATTGAAGTCCATTATATGGGGAAAAATTCTGGAACATTTTCCTCAAAAACCTTCATTTCCTTGCGACTGAAGAAAGAAAGACGTTAACATCTTGGATGACATGGGGGTGAGTAAATTACCTATCAGGATCTATGAGTGAGGACCCAAACGCAGATGAACAATGGTTGGGTTTATTAACAAAACAGACAAGCCACAAGGGTTGCGTGAAACAGAGTCCAACAACAGGGGATACAGGAAACGATGACAGGACAGCGGTGGATGACTGCTGGAACCAGCCCTGGATGACAACAGGTTGGACAACTGCAGATGAGGTGGCAGGACCAGGCAGATAGTGGTGAAGACCAGGCGAGGCACAAGGAAGTAGAGATCTGTTACTTGAACACTAAATCTGAACCAGTCTGGCTGCCAGGAAGAGGGAACCAGTGGGCAGGGAACCACAGGACTAGAATGGGGAAACACTACATACAGAACAGGACCACCGAACAGGACTCAACAGGAACACAAGACAACACAATCAAGACGGGGAATGAAAAACCTTAAGCAAAAAAGAATAGAGAGCTGAAAAATTAAAGTAACAAAACAAATAATAAAAGGAAAAGACTAGAGTTAAAGACTAGACTTGAAAAACTACTAAATCAAAAGAAATAAAGACCAAGACTTTAACAAGAAAATACTTAGAAATTAACAAAGACTAAACTTGACTAGAGTGGCTGAAAGTAGCACAACACACATTCACTTACAACAAACTGGCAAAGACAAAAGGGCAGAGAGCACAATAAATAGGGAGGAAAGCACATGAGGACCAGGGGCCCGTTCTTCGTACCTCGCTTAATACATCTGAGATTATTTGAAAGATGCCAGATCTTCTAATCGTGATAACTGATCTCTGGCTAATTTGGTTCTTCAAACGAATTTGCGGATCTCATTAAAATATCTGGATTAAGTTGTCTAAGATTATTGCACATTCTCGTGCTCCCCGTAAAGGGCAGATGTATCGATACTGAAAACCACAATCAGCAATGCAGCGATTGGCTGGTGGCAAGACAGCAATGTAATGACATATAATTAAAAAAGACACCTGACGAAAAGCTTGACAAATTTCTGGACCTTTATAAGCAAACAGCCAAGTGAACAAAACTACATAACTGTTATGTAACACCTCGTTTCTTTAAAGCTGTTACTCCGAGGGGTTCAACAGATTTGTAACATGTACTGATTAAAATATTCTTCACAACACAAATGATCTTTGAATCTTAATTTATTCTTCCCACAAGTATATATATACACAGGTGCAAAAACCAACGAATAAACCATAATCAATTTAAATGCACTTTGTCTTTTAACTGAAAGAGTCAATAAGCTGAAATAAACTTATCGTTCCATGTACAGTTGAAGTACGAGAATTGATGATGTTGAGATGAAGTTTTAATCCACAAAGTTATTTGAGTGCGATGCAATGTTAGTAGTCCTATAACCCACAGTGTCGTTGGCGTTCGGCATGTTGCTGTCCTGTGTGCTGCGTTGGATGAACCTGGACCGTCGTCGTAGACAATACACCTCGTATCCAGAGGTGATTTAAGATGCATTCAATCAATTACACACGAAGAAAGAAATCATTTGAAGAATAGACAGGTGTAGACATAGACAAATAAAGTCCTTTCTAAAAAGAAAGCAAATGGCTGACATCAGTAACTTCACTAGACGAAGGTTTTGGGTGCTGGAAAAGCCAAACCAAAGAAGCATGGTCAGTAACTACCTCAAATGCTCTGCCTTCAAGATAATGATGCCATTTTTCCACCGCCCAGACTACCGCTAGACATTCCTTCTCTGATGCTGAATATGACCTCTCTGCACCTCTCAGCAATCTGGATGCATAAGCGATCACTTTCTCTTGTCCATCCACTTCCTGTGTCAGCACTGCTCCTAAACCAACGTCGCTGGCGTCTGTTTGCACTTTAAAAGAAGAATCAAAATTGGGTGCATTTAACACGGGGGCTTTGGTCAGATCATCTTTGAGGAGTTCAAACGATCTCTGGCACTCGTCTGTCCACATCCATTTAGCTCCTTTTTTCTTTAGTGCATGCAAGGGTGCTGCTTTAGTGGAGAAATCTGAAATGAAACGATGGTACCAAGCCGCAAGACCTAGGAACCGTTGTAATTCTTTTATGGAAGTTGGTGTGGGGAATGATTTGACCGCATCAACCTTGTCAGAATTCACTTTGACTCCGTCAGCAGTGATTGTGTGACCTAAGTAGTCCAGTGATGAACAGATGAATTTGCACTTCTTGAGATTGAGAGCGAGACCGGTGGTGTGCAGACTGTTGGCTACTTGTTTGAGATGTTGCAGGTGTGCTTGGATGTCTGGTGAGTACACAATCGTCGTCTATGTATACCATACAACACCTGTTTTTGTGCTCTCTGAGAACTTGTTCCATCAAACGTTGGAAAGAGGCAGCTGTATTTTTAAGGCCAAAGGGAAGACACAAATTCATATAACCCTGATGTGGTTATGAATGCAGTCTTCTCCACACTTGCAGGATCCATCTCTACTTGCCAGTAGCCACTCTTCAAATCTAAAGTGCTAAACACCTTGGCTCCTTGCAAAGAATCCAGTATATCTGTAATCTGGGGCATCGGATATGCATCAAGGTGAGTTTTAGAATTAAGACCACGATAATCAATGCACAACCGAGATCCACCATCCTTCTTATCTACTACCACAACAGGTGAGGCCCATGGTGAAGTGGAAGGTCTAATGATTTTTTGTTGAAGTAGTTCCTTGATTTGTTCTTCAATAAAATCATTCTTGACTCTTGAGACTCGGTAAGGTCTCTTTCTCAAGGGAAGTTCATCAACTGTCTTGATTTCATGTTTGATGCAATTTGTACGTCCTAACTTGTGAGTGCAAACTGATGACCAGTCATGCATGAGAGATTTTAACTGATTCATTACCTTGAGTGAGGCATGAGAATTTTTCTCTTGGGTTCTTCTCTTGAGGTTGTAATACTTTTTCTGTTTAGTTTCTGCTTTCTCAACATTTTCTCTGACAGATTCGTACAGTAGTTTCTGGTGATCAATGGTACTGTAGCTTGGTTGATCTGGATCTGGCGGATTCTGTAGAACTCTTTGTAGTGGTCCTTTCAATTGACGTCTAAGGGCTACGTCAGCGGGTGAAAAACCTGTGCTTTCATGCCATGCTGTATTCAAAGCAAATCTAAATTCGCAGATCCATTGATCCCAAGTATGATGCCATTTTCCTACTGCCCAGACTACCGCTAGACATTCCTTCTCTGATGCCGAATATGACCTCTCAGCACCTCGCAATCTGGATGCATAAGCGATCACTTTCTCTTGTCCATCCGCTTCCTTTGTCAGCACTGCTCCTAAACCAACGTCGCTGGCGTCTGTTTGCACTTTAAAAGAAGAATCAAAATTGGGTGTATTTAACACGGGGGCTTTGGTCAGATCATCTTTGATGAGTTCAAACGATCTCTGGCACTCGTCTGTTCAAGGGAAGTTCATCAACTGTTTTGATTTCATGTTTGATGCAATGTGTACGTCCTAACTTGTGAGTGCAAACTGATGACCAATCAAGCATGATAGATTTGAACTGATTCATTACCTTGAGTGAGGCATGAGAATTTTTCACTGCTTGTTCGATGAGCTTCAAGTCTTCCTTATTGGAGATCAATTCGACACCACCTTGTGCAGCATAAAACTGGATGGCAGCGTTCTCATGAAGTTCATTAAAACAAATGGGGTGACTTGAGTTGGAATCAGGTAAGTAAACACGTGAGGAATTAAAATCAATGGTTACTTTGGCCTCTTTTAGAAAATCCAGTCCCAGGATGACAGGAACAGCCAAGTCTTCATTCATCACGTAGAATGTGACAGCAAGTTTAATTCCATATATTTCAAGTTCCCAGAGAATCTTTCCCTGAGTTCTCTGACTCTGACCATTAGCAAGCATAAACGTTTGGGTACTTTTGGTCAGATGCTCATCATTTCTTCTCAACCTCTGCCAAGCTTTCTGCTGCAGCAAAGAGAAGGCGCTTCCTGTGTCAATTACAGCATTAAAGTAAGAATGATTTACAATTATTGGAGTTTGCAGCACACTATTATATTGAGAGCTGAAAGTTGGATCAATGAGCATGAGGTGATTTTGTTGCCCTCTTCCACCGGAAGATTTCTTCCTCTGTTCCTCATCTTTTCCTTGATTCCATCTCTTTTTATTTTCCACCCAATCCTTTTCTATTTGAGTACCGATGGGTACTCTGTGGGAACGGTCCCATAATGTCCATGCCGAGCATGTATCCGGGTTCAACGATGGGCACGCTTTGAAGACCTCCTGCTGGCTTCAGGTTTGTGGGCTTATGCTGCTGACATTTTTCACACTGTTTGCAGAGACCAGATCATCAACCGTCTTCACAGTTCCACTTAACAGCGAAGCCAATCGAGGGTTGCAGTTTCTTAAAGTCGCTTGAACAATCTCGGCTTTAGACATTTTAGGATGATT